TATTTATTTTGCTTTGTTTCCTCACCTTCCACTTAAGTTTCTTAAGATTTTTCTCTCCATATATAGTGGATACATTATGAATGGATTATAATTTTCGAAAAGTAGAACATGTTAGCAAAAAAATAGAAATATTAAAAACTTTTTAAAACGCAAAAAACGGACTTTTTACAATTTTATTTGATTGGATTTGTACAAAATAATAAAATTGAAATTGTCGGTATATATAGAGAGTGAGTCATATTACATTAAATAAGTCATCATGTGTTTCACATGTGAATACATCTTGTAGGTGGAATATAATATTTTGGCTTTTCTATCGTGCACAAATTTGAACCATATATCTATATCACCTTATCGCGACTCTCATAGGATGAAGATAAAATTACTCGGTGGAATGTAATATGTTGGTTATTACTTCAACGAGATAAAGTAAATATTCGAACGAATATGGTACACGCGTTAACAAAATAACAAGTCTTTTGGTTTATTTTATTATTTATTTTTTTTTTTCATCTAAAAATGATGATCAGTAAGAGCCATTTGGTTGGATCTTATTTATATAGAAAAATGTATAATTTCTGGTCTTTGATTTCTTTGCTAATGCGTCAGCTCAACCATTCTTATTCCGAAAAATATGAAATAAGTTCAGATTGTAATTTCTAAAACATTTCAATCTCTGTCATGAAAGTCGGCTAATCTTTTGGATTTATAGTCATGTTCACTAGATCCAAACAGTATGTCTCAAAATGTATCAAAGTTATCCTCATGTTTTTCATACACGAGGTTGTTCAAAGTATTTTTTTCAATTTAGCATGCAAAATTGAGAGGTTCTTTATGCACGCTTGTAATCCGAAGATTTCAGTGTTTATTTGATTTTTAAGACTCCATCTAAGCCACTGACACTGGTATTGTCAATTCATGATGCATCAATTTAGCAAATAGGGATTCGGGATATGTAATAGATATTATCTAAATTTCTGTAAAAAAGAGAAAAAAATGTTAATTAATAAAGGAAAGAAGAAGTTGACAGAAAAAAATGGAAAGAAGAATAACTTCGACATGGGGGAAACGCAAGTACTAGATGATTGCAGTAGATAACACATTACATCAATTTTAATAATAAAAAACACATTACATTACCATAATAAAACAGAGTTTCTAAAAACATGTGCAGTCGGAATAAATGTATGGCAGATTATATATCCTTTGGGAGTAATTATACGGTTCATAAATATAAATTCACCTTTGTCGTTGACCATCTTCTTGTGAATTAACTTGCTTGCAAAAAAAAAGCACGAGATGTGGTGTTTGTTTGTGGAAATACACAGGTTCAGTTTTCATTGTCGGAGACAAAAAACTAACGACTCTGGACAATTCACTTTGTTTTTAGAATGAGGATGTCGTTGAAACAAAAGAAGATAGTAAAAGTACACATGAAAGAACCCTTGCAAGAGAGAGTTAATCAGTTAAAGTAAGCGCTGGACAATGTTTCTACCGGTTATCAACATGCTAGTCTACCTTTTAGATTTTCATGACTGCTGACATTACCAAACTACCAAATGCCTACGTAAAGATTAAAAAAGTAAATTATTAGATGCATTATGCGAGTCTTTGGCTTCCAATTTGGATGAGTTTCCAAGCTTTCTTTGTTCTTTCTTTGTTAACGTGGGTTGTTTCTCATTAGATCTCTTCGCTCAGTTCCATTAGTCTCATCTTTATTGTTTTTTTTTATATACGTTTTTCTGCAATATTTTCGTACAATAAAAGGTTTTTAAATACGAGTAATGTTATTAATGAAACTAATGGAATCAGTTTACAGAAAAAAATAAAAATATAGCATAACAGATTTATAGTTTAGCATAAGAAAATAATAAGATAGTAACTCAAATACGAACAAAATTATGCAGATAAATAATAGTTCAGATTTATAGGACTTCTTCGGAACTCCTTCCTATCTCAAAAAAACTATCAAATCCTCGTTTTTTATTTTCTTTTTGCCAGAGCTTTGTTTTGTATAGATTAACTACTTTGTAGTCTGATCTTTTATTTTCAATGATATTAACATTTTTAGCAAAATATATATATATATATATTTTAGATTTGAGAATTTAGTTTTTAGAAATGACTGTTTTGTATAGATTAACTACTTTGTAATCTGATCTCTCATTTTTAATGATATTAACATTCTTAGCAAAAATAAATAATAAAAAAATATATACATCAGATTTGAAAATTTAGTTTTTAGATAAGTTACATTGTCATTTTATTTATATAGTTTAATTCATATCAAATTTGAATCAGAACTCTGATATGACAGTAACGTTAAACTTTTGGGCATATATTCCACTGGTAAGGTATGATTAAATGTCTCAACGTGTTTGTTGGTGTGTACGTACAAACCGTTATACAGCTTACGATTCGTACGTCCTAATTCGAATGGTGTGTCAGCTTTTTTTTCCTAACATCGAATGGTGATAAGATTCTATCGCACTAAAACACGATATATGTTCACAGTAACAAAATTGTTTATACCATTATAGAGTCATTTTCTCTCCGTTTCTTCTTCTAAATCTTAATCCAGCTACTTTTTTTTTCTTTTTAATCCAGCTACTTACTTGCCTCTTTTTAGAACATGTGTATCAGCACTCTCTCATAGAGTATAGTTGTTTTATCTCAACCATAAACATAAAAGATACAAAAAGTAGAAAGAAGCAGTTTTTTAATAAGAAACTCTTTAACTTCGTAGATATCTATTTTCTGCTATCCTTAAATGATTGGTTTAATTCTTTTTCACTTTTAAATAATTAAAAAATTAACTAATAACAATAAAAATAGTAGCAAGATACTCAACTTGGTATTTTACCACTAAAATCTTAAAGACAAACACATGTTGAATTTAAGTGTAGTTGGTTTAAGTCTAGACGTTGGTATTGTTTTGTTTCTGGAATTGATCCACTATGAGATATGTGTTTTACGCTTTGTATTAGCAATGAGTTCTTTATCTAGTGAAGATTAACGCCAAAGATCTGAACTTCACTAAAAAAAAATAATAATTTGATAGCACACAAAATGATTAAAGTTAATTGTACTAAATTCAATTAGAGATTGTATAAATTTATCGAATCTTTGTTTTAAAACCATCTTAAATCTTATTTCATTTTTTCATTTTAAAATGAAATTTTCCTTTCAAAATGGAAATTGGAGTAAAACTTTTCCTAATGATTTTTATTTTTACTATATAATATATAGTAAAATTGAGACTATTTCAAAATAGAATTTTTTATTCATTAAGTACTCTATTTTAGAGTAGAATTATAGAGACTTCGTGTTTTAAAAAATGGAGTACTGCATTAGAGATCCATCAAAAACCTCTTAAATCACCTGATCCATAATTTCTGAAAATTTTATATTCTTTTTTTGTGTGATATCATGAATATATACAAAATGGTAACATGTATATAGGTGCATTAATTCTCAAAAAGAGTATATATGTGCATTTAATGTGATATATGATGCTAATGTTATTAGTGAATTCCGTACGAGAAAAACGTACGAAATTTGAGGCAATCCATCACTTCAAACATTATTTCCCTATGAACTGTGACTAAACAAATTTGGTTTGGAACAGACCTTATTGTAACTGAATTTGGATCAGACCTTTAGCCAACAAATATTTAAGCGATGGATAGAGAAATGCAGTTGTGGCACATGAGACCATATAGCTGCAACAATCATATTTTGTCACTTTTATTGTTAGGGGCACAAATACTTTTTTCTCTTATGAATGTATATGGGTGAAAGCACATATTCTGAAAGGATGGCACACAATAGTCTTTTTAAGATGGATTTGAAGTTAAAGGAAACGGTAATTGTTTGGTTAGTTTTAGACAACTATATCCGCGAATATGTTCAGTTTCTCAAAAAGTAAAACAAAACTAGACTAGAAAAGTCCCTTCGAGGACATCCAATAAAATTGGAACGATACAAAGAAGATTAGCATGACCCCTGTGCAAAAGGATGACACGCATAAATTGAGAAATAGTCCAATTTTTTTTTTCAGAAAAAAAAACTAGACTAGAAAACTTTGTTAGTTGTTATATGGTTTTAAAATCGACATTGAAACTTTGTTTCGTTAGTTCCATAATCATTTTGATTGTTTTTTTGGGGTTGTTTTGGTTGTTCTAATAGTGTAATACTTTTCATCGGAGACATCTCGTCTGACCAATGATATGGGTAGCTGCAATGTTCTAAAATCGTTAAGAAGTGGTTATAAATCTTATAGAAGATTGTTGTTTAGGTGTGTGTTTAGGTTGATTTTTTAAAATACTTAGACTGATATTTAAAAATCAGTTTGAAAAAAAAAACTGTTTTGCTCATAATTTGTTGACTAAGCATGTGTTTAGGTTGCAATTTAGATCGATTTTTATATATTGGGTACTTGATAAAAAAATTTATTTAATACTGAGTCCCCTTCTATTAAAATTTAAAATCTTAATAATCAGTCGTCAATTTTTTTTTTTTTTGTGTTAGTCGTCAAATTTCTAAACATATCTCATCCACACCTCGTCCACATAAGCACTTTGTGTAAATATTAAATAGCATGTGATGTAATGAATGTGAACCTTTAATCAAAACAAGTCGGTGCATAGTAACATAATGAATAAGACAAGATCTATTCCATCGTTTCTCAACCATTTCTATCTATTTAAGTATTTTTTTATTTAAGTATTTATTATGGAAGAATGTCAAAATCGTGTTTTAGAAAGAAAAAAAAAAGAATGTCAAAGTCATAGATAATACTATTATTATTTAATTTTTTACAAGTTTCTTTTTTAGATATTACTATTGGGAAGCGTATGAGCTTAGGGATACCCCACCGTCTAATATTCTATATATATGTACAACGAACATTCACACCAACACACAACGAGAAAGAGATTTTTCTTTCAATTTCTTAAAAATAAAGCTCTGTGTGTTGGGAAATAAGAGGAGAGAGAGGGATGGAGATTGAACCGAAGTTCAAAAGAATATGTGTGTTTTGTGGAAGTAGTGCTGGTAATAAAACCAGTTACAGAGATGCTGCCATCGAACTCGGAGCCGAACTGGTAAGTTCTATTTCTTTTTCTCATCTTTAGAAAGTTGTTCTTGGTTATTATTTCTTAGAACATCGTTTTGTATAGACTTTGAATCTGTAGATTCGACTGTTTATGTTTGTCACGCAATTTATGAGCAACCCAAAAAAGTCTCTGGTTTTCTAATCTTACCGTTTGCAAACACTTGAAAATTACAGTAAAACATTGGAGTTCCAAGTTATGGGGAAGACTCATGTCTAAATAACTCAAAACCACACAATTCTGTTTTGTTTTGGAAATATTTTGATTATTTTCAAATTATTTGAAGTATTTCAGTTTTTCTTTTTTCATGTCCTTTTAGTTACCTCTTTACTGTTAAATTAGCTTTGATCAAAGAAACTAAAAAGAAAATGTACAGATAACATATACAGTTTTTTAATCTGCATTCACTCAAAACATCTTATAACGGAACAGATAAAGTATATATTAGTAAGTTTTTTTTTATAAAAAAAGTATATAGTAGTAGCAGAGAGCAGAATGTTGTATTCTATTAATCTTTTTCCGTTGATCAAATAAAAGTTGGGTTTACAACTTGCTCGGGAATGGATTTACTCAACTGACTTGTCGTTACTAAAGCAGTTTAGCCATTTAGACTTAGTGGAGTCAACTATTCATGTCTATAATTGTGCACTATCTTTCTTAGATGAAAAACTATTATCTTCAGTCTGTACTTACTTTGGTCACTGGTAGAAATATAGTTGCAAAGGCTTAAAAAGGAAGAAAAATCAAAAGTATTTTAGTTGAATTTTGATGGGAAAGCTCATACCTCTTTCTGTTTTACAATTTTCTTTTTCATGTACTTCCGTAAGTACTTTTACCAGAAAATGTGATTATGGAGTTTCAACCATTATCTTTATCCACTTACCTGTATAGTTTTCTCTCTCTTTTGTCGACAATTGTATTTACTAATTAACTATGACAACGACTACTAAATAAAAACTAAAAACTTACAATGTTTCTTGTCGAAATGTTTTTTTCCTAGGTATCAAGAAATATCGATCTTGTCTATGGCGGAGGGAGCATAGGCTTAATGGGTTTGATTTCTCAAGCTGTTTACAATGGAGGTCGCCATGTCATCGGGTTAGGACTTTTACATTTTTTTTTTGTTCAAAATGATTTTTACATTTAAATTAAATTTTATTCTACGATGTATAGAAAATTGCTAGAATCAGCAAGTATATCTACTGTTTGGTGTATCCATTATGGATGGATGGGCTATGACTTGTAAATATACTTAAATTCCTAAACATAAAATAGAAAGTATTCAGAAATAAATAAATTAAAAAAAAATAAAAATCCTTACCTCTTGCTGGTATGAACATCTTCAATGGGTTCTCAGCCTAAACTTTTAAAAATACATATACGTATATGTATATATCCTTGTCCTAAAAATCAGGCGCCTAACCATCTAAACGCTGACAGTCCTTACCCGCTCCGATTTATATCAAAACAGTTTAAAAATCAAAAGTCTGATTATGTCTATGTCATCTAGATGACCACTTAGACGGTCATCTAATCTATTTCTTTTTAATAATATTTTTTTTATCTATTTATTTGATCTAAAGTTTGTTCAATGTAATTTATATTTATAACTTTGTTGAAATTATATCATATTAAGTTTATATATTCTATTTGTATGTTTTATACAGTTCTAAACTTAATGTTTTATACTGTTCTAAACTTAAAAATGTATTAATGATATATAAAACTAAAGATTAATATATTTATAACATGTTAAATAATTTAAAATTTTTATCCCGTATAATCTTCGTTTAATCCACGATTTTCTCTCTAGACATGAGATTTAATCCTACCATCGAACTAGCACCTAACACATTCCCGAACATTGGTATATATTAATATTAATATTTCATTATAAGTATCTCAATTTTACGAGAAATTCTATCTAAAATACCCTAACAAAGGATATATTAGATTGATTTTCTCGTAAAACTGAAATAGTTATAATTAGATATTAATTTTAATATATATATTGGTTAAACATTCTATTGGAGATGTTCTAGATGGCACTGGTTCTTGTTGTAAGATCCCATGGAATTCATAAATAGATGAAACATACAAAGTTAAATACAAATTTGTTTTCATTATAAAACATAATAGTTGTTAGCAGGAAATTTTGAGCCTTATTCTTACAAATATATATAAAAGTAAACAAATATTGGTCAATAAAAATTTATTAAACTAAAGAAAATAATTTCGAAATCGAAAATATTAAACTAAAGAAAAACGAATATGAAGTCACTCTTACATGACTCTTGCCCATTAAATTTAAAAAGAAATACGTAATTAACAAAATGGAAATTTTTTGGCATACGTGGAGAATTCTTGACGTATACTTTTGTTAACTAACTTTTTTTGTCTTGTTACTGTCTTCAGGGTTATCCCCAAGACACTAATGCCAAAAGAGGTATGTCAATATAACTCCATAATAATAATAATAATGTATTGCTTTTTTACCACTTCCATAAAAAAAATAATAATTCGAACGATACTGGTGGTAGATAATTTAATTAGAACATCAACCTCAAAAATGTTATCTTTAAACGCGTATCACAGATTTGTCTTATATTAGAGAGGGTTTCAATTCAGACAAAAGAGCCCCAGTTTATTGGATGACGATATTTCTTGGTTTCCTTTATCTTTTCTCTTTTTCTTTTGTTAGGCTAGGTTTTTCAAATGAAAAAACAATTTTTGCCTCCATATTTTGAAATGTCTAATTTTTTCATTTGGAGAAGAAATATTTCATTTAGAGTTTTTAGTTAGTTTGACAAAAAAAGAGTTTTTAGTTAGTTAAAACAATTCAAAAAAGAGAGCCAACAATCATGTTGCCCCATAATATGATTAGCTAAAGGTATTTAAAGTGATATACTTTGTTACATCATGATGGGCTAAATATGATTGCATATAGATAGAATTGAATTTGTTAATTACAATGTCGAATCATTTATTAGATTCACAAAATTATACAGTATTATACTCCAGATTGTTGTTGGAGAAAGAATACCATAAAACAAGTGGTGCGAGTGTGTAAGACTTTTGTCATTTTGTTTTGGAATATATACAGAAGACACACACAAGTGGTGAGTGAGTGGTAGTAATAATAATAATTTGTAAATGTAAATAAAGATAACAGGAGAGACAGTGGGCGAAGTGAAGGCAGTAGCAGACATGCACCAAAGGAAAGCTGAGATGGCTAAGCACTCTGATGCTTTTATCGCTTTACCTGGTTGGTTCCTTTTTTTTCTTATCCACAATTTTAAATATTTACCGTGGCTTTGATTAGCAATAGTATAGCAAGATTTGTATATAACTTGTGATTAGTAAGCAAAAACTAACGCTTTACATACGTAGGTGGATATGGGACACTTGAAGAGCTTCTTGAAGTAATCACTTGGGCACAGCTTGGAATCCATGATAAACCAGTAATCATCATTTTGCATCCATTCCCATTTAAATAGTTAAAAAAAATTTCACTGTATGATCTTTTTTTAATTGTATGATTGTTTTAATTTATATATGAATGTGAAGGTGGGATTACTGAATGTGGAAGGATACTACAATTCATTGTTATCATTCATAGACAAAGCAGTAGAGGAAGGTTTCATTACACCAACTGCTCGTCATATCATTGTTTCTGCTCCTTCTGCGAAAGACCTTGTCAAGAAACTTGAGGTTATATATTTGTTTTTCTTATTTAGTTTATTTTTTAAAATTTGAAATTGTTTTTAAATTCCCTTTTGGTTTAAAAATTTAGGAATATGTACCAAGGCATGAGAAGGTAGCCTCAAAGAAAAGCTGGGAGATGGAGCAAATAGGGCTGAGTCCCACTTGTGAAATCTCAAGATGAAAAGGATAACCCAATTGAATGTTTTTCTTCTAAATTGGGTTCCTTGTTGCTCCGAAAACACAAATTGACTTTATTTGTGTAGTTGATTCTGCTGTTTAATGTATTTTATTACGGAAAATAAAAACAGAAAATGTATGTTTTGGTTTTTAATTTCTGATATGCTCCTACGAACATCTCAATCTTCAAGATTTATTTTGTTGTGAATGCTTAAACCCATTTTTCTCTCTTTGGAGTTCTTTTTATGCAATTATACAGTCAATTAAAATTTAATAGATATAAACCTTTGCTCAGAAAAAAAACATTTGATAGATATATGACAATTTGGATGAAAAATGTCATAGTCACGAATCCTGAATGAATGCGTGGGTTTTTCTTTAAAGCTGAACCGTCAGAAACTATCCCTTCATACAACCAAGTTGAAAAGAAAGAAAACTAGTCTATAGAACTTTGTTTTGGTGCCTAGTATAATAATGTAAAACCTGATAGTTAAATATGTATATGCTTTTGTCTCTAAGAATTTAGAGTAAAGTTAAAAACTGAAACTATAAACAGTAATAATATTGCTAGCTCAATTAAAAACAACAAAATAAATCATGCTCTATTTTTATTATACGGTTGATTTGTCAATAATTTTATATGGTTATAAATTTGAGAAATTCACGGATCTAGGTTTAGAATTTTTAATCATGAAAAAACAAAAAAAAGAAGTGCACATATTTTTATAATCGAGAAAAGAAAGAAACCAAAAAACTTAGCATCAGTATACAATAAAGAACTAAACTCAACCTTGGATTGTATTGGTTCTCTACTAATTTATGTTAGCACTTTCAAAGTTAACCATTCGAGATTTGTTACAGTTGTTTTTAACCAATAGAAAGTCAGTAAATACTACTCAATATTCTGAATATTCTGAAAATATTTGCTAAATCAAAACAAGCCAGTCCTCAATTAGGTAAATTGAGTCTTCTTAAAAATACATGACATTCGTTATGTTTGACTAGAATTCTCTAATAAATTCGTCTAAAATACCTGATATTTGAACTCACTGGTTACAACATTACCTAACGATGTCATGTCTGTGTATCGTATACCAAAGACAATGACGAAAAAATCAACAGGTGTTATTGCACAGTTTTAGTAGGGTCCAGAAAGTTCTATTCGGGATATGCACTAACAATCCTAGGATAAGTTATGTTCTCCAAAACATAAAGGCAGTTTAGATTTTAAGGATTTAGCATATTTCAATACATTTATGTTGGATAAATAATTTTGGAGACTGATCGAGAAACCAAGAATTTTATTTTTTTTGAGTATTCAAAGGGCAGTATTATAGGAATGCATCACCCCTGAAACCGATTAGGTCATACTCACCATCATACAGATGGCGTAGTATGGTCTCTACTAGATTTCTGGTTAGCAAAATACTAAATAAAAGTGTGGAATCAGGATCTTCCATTTTCATATGGAATGATCTTTGGCTCCCAACCACTCGCCCGTGACCAACAAACACTAACCAACAAATTCTTCACCCATGAATTACAATGGATTCACTCAACGACCAGAACATGGAACTCTCATTTTATTCGATCTCTGGTGACGCTGGAAGATGCACAAGTTATAGAAAGTATAATTCTCAGTCGATTCCAGTTGACAGACAAGGATGGTTTGCATTTCACTAAGAATGGAAAATATATATGGTAAAATCTGGTTACGAAGTGGAAAGGGTTTATCCGGACTTTGATTACCCGAAAACCGTTACAAGACCAAATATTAATCCCTAGAAGGCACATTTGTGGAAGATAAAGTGCCCCCCAAAGATTAAGCATTTTCTCTGGCAAATCATATCAGGTTGTATCTCGGTCAGAGGAATCTAAGGGCAAGAGGTCTACAAGGGGATATTCGGTGTGAGCAATGCGGAGTAGAGGAGGAATACATAAATCATGTCTTCTTTCAAAGTCCCCCAGCCGTCCAGGTCTGGGCTCTTTCCAAAATTCTTTCAAATCTTCTTATTTTTTCTTCTCAGTCGATCTTCACAAATATGGATCACTTGTTCTGGAGGGTCGATCCATCCATGGAGGATTATCACTTCGCTTGGATATTACCATTAAATTGGCATAAATGGAAGTTACACTCAGGTTAGAGGCACAAGCAAGTTTAGCCCAACGGATAATCCACAAAGAATCAACAGATTCGCCCGAATTACCTCAAATAGAAGGAAGATGGTGTTTTATAGATGGTTCTTGGAAAGACAATACCATGTTCTTGGGTCAAGGATAGTATAGTACTTTGGTAGGTTTTGACGGACTGATGGGCGCCAAAAACACAAGAGCGAGCTTATCGCCCTTACATTCTGAAGTGAAAGCTTTTATTTGGGCGATAAAGAGTATGAGGAATTTAAGACAATTTGACGTCATATTTGCAACGGATTACTCCCAATTGGTGAAGATGGTTTCAGAACCGGAAGAGTGGCCCACGTTTGAAAACTACCTAGAAGAAATCAAGATACCGAGGAGTAGTCTTCAATCACTCAAAGATTGTACATGTCCCTAGAACAAAGAACCTCAAAGCGGATAGTCTGGCACGAATGGCTAGGCAACAAATGTCCTATGTCGTTCACTTGGATACATAAACTACCTGGATAATTTACAGAGTCTTAATTAAGTCTATATATTGACGAAAAATAAAAAATACCTAATATTAACTTAGTTTGAATTAATAATTAAGTCGTCTAAAAACACCTCACAAAATTAAGTTTGACTAAATATTAAGTCTTCTGTAATAACAATGAAATAACGTATACTAATGTGTTCACTAATATAATAGAGGTTATCCTAAATTCATTTATTTATTACTCCCTCTGTTCCTAAAAGATAGATTTTCTAGTGTTTTCACACATATTAAGAAAACACATTAAATCACTGTCGTTTTTGAGTAATTTTCAACAACTTTTAGCCAATAGTAATCTAATAAAACCAATTAATTTTTTTGAAACTTGTAATTTTCTCATAGAAAACATAGAATATATATCTTTTTGAAACAAAATATTTTTCCAGAACATGGATCTTTTAGAAACGGAAGGAGTATCTTATATATTAAAATATAAGTCATAACTTCTTTCATGTGTGATATTTTATTTTAGATCATCTCTTAAAACATCATCACATTAATTATCCTATTATTTCGTTTTCATAATAAATATAATCACAAATCTGTCTTATTAATATTTTAATAAACTAACAATATGCTATATTGAAGGAGAATCTCAAATTTGGACTTTGCCCTCAGAAGATGTGTTGAAGTGAGTAGTTTTGTCCCTCTATCTAAGGTTATTGCCGTTGTTGGAAAATCTCTTTTGTTTGTGTTTTGTGCAGCCTTCTCATGAGAAGATTGGTGTTGTAGATGCGCAATGGATCATTCATAAAGTGATACCTTCGCTTGGGAGTCAAGGCAAGTGAGAGAATCGGAAAGCTCCTTGGCAAGGAGTGAGAGAGAGATGCAAAAAGGAATTGGTAATGTTTCAGAACGGTTTAGCAGAAGCTGGTGAGGAGTATCTTTGGAGGATGATGGTGAAAGAATAAATAGATAGTTATTCTAATTTTTTTTTTTTTGGAACACAGATAGTTATTCTATAGAATAACATTTTTTGTATATCAGACCTTTTACCGTATACTGGTTATAGTTTGAGACTCAGACCTGCTTCGTGGATCATAGTAGATGGGGTTAACGGCCCGGGTTTCATAATGTGAAATCCAATTCCAACAGTCACCTATTCATAAACCCATATAATCGAACTAAAAATTAGCACTGCTTATTTGAAAACTGGTTTGAAGTAATTTGTCAGTTTAACCAAAAGCAGAATTTAAACTAAAAGAAAAAGATTTAATTTAAATTATAAGTTTCTTCATGGATAAAAGGATTTGAAAAATGTCCAACCTAAACTTAAAACCAAAGCAAAATCCTCATTAAACATCTCAATTATATACATTTGATTTAATACTACTTGTGTTTCCCAAATTTGTGTCATAATTATTTTTACTTTGAAAGGTCAATAGTAATACCAGTTTCACGAGACGATCAGTTTTATAAATTGCTATTAATAGATAACGTAATTGGTAGGGAAATTAAGGAGAGGAGAAGAGTATATATCATTGGTTTCTTTGGAGTGAGTGTGAAGCTTCACACCAAATCCAATTTACTCATATTTTCTAACGTTTTATAATATTCTCTCCAGCAGAAAAGTCTGAACACTTCAGTTTCACCTTCTTTTTTGCTTTTAATTCAAGTCAATCATTTGTACATAGAATACCATAATGTATTATTTTTCTGTGTGGCTGTTTAGTTTTCCTTTATTTTTTATGGTTAAAAGTTTGTTTTCAAATCATTATTAGTAGCCTCGTGTGAGGAAAACCATATATTAAGCAACATCATAAAAGTTTTTCTCATGTATGTTTAATTATATAATGATATAATTAGGAAAATATGGAATTAGGAAGAACAGAACAGAAGACACTGACCAACTAGAAGTTTGGTGTTAGGCACCAACCATTTTTAGACTAACAAAGAATAAAAACCTCATATCTCTCTTTTGCATTTCCATTCTTCATCACATTCACAAATCTTATCTTTCTCTCATCAGCATATAAGTTTCTTTTTAGATAAGTTTTAAAGGGTTGCAAGGAGAAAGAGAGAGGAAAATGGGAGAGATGAAGAGTATGCAAATGGGTGTGATTGGGGCATTGTTTCTGTCGGTTGCATCTTCTGTCTCCATTGTCATTTGCAACAAAGCTTTGATGACCAATCTTGGCTTCCCTTTTGGTATTATTACTTTCCTCTCCTTTTTTTTTAACTTTTATAAAGATGATTTAACTGAATCATTCAATCAACGTGACAACATATGTTGTAAATATTATCTTTATCGTATGGTTTTGATCAGTTTTTGTAATTGATCAGTTTTTTGCGCTATATGGTTTTGTTTCAGCAACGACACTAACAAGTTGGCATTTGATGGTAACATATTGCACACTTCATGTGGCATATAAACTAAATTTCTTTGAGAATAAACCAATAGACACAAAGACTGTTGTTCTCTTTGGCCTCCTCAATGGCATCTCCATTGGGCTTCTCAATCTTAGCCTCGGCTTCAATTCCATCGGCTTCTATCAAGTATATTTGTGTCGAATAAACTTCATAACCCTCATCATGTGACATTTTATACGTTTGACCAATTTTTTTAATGTTTTTGTCCTTCAATTACGGCAGATGACCAAACTTGCTATCATACCATTCACTGTACTATTAGAAACTCTCTTCCTCAACAAGAAGTTCAGGTGAACCTTTGCTAATTTTTTTTTTAAGTTATTCATGCTTTATAATTATTAACACATATATAACATCCCTCACATGTTGTCATATTTGAATTTGCAGTCGGAAGATAAAATTCTCATTATTTTTGCTGTTGGTTGGGGTTGGAATAGCATCAATCACAGATCTTCAGCTCAATTTTGTTGGTTCTGTTCTCTCTCTCCTTGCCATCGCCACAACTTGCGTCGGCCAAATTGTATGTTTTAATTCAGTTTTTTCATTAAAAAAACAATATGTAATGATTTAATCCATAATGTTAATTAATGTGTATTTTGTATGTTGGCGAAGCTAACAAACACGATCCAAAAGAGGCTGAACGTGACATCAACACAACTCCTTTACCAATCGGCCCCGTTTCAAGCGGCTATACTCTTTGTTTCAGGTCCCTTTGTCGACAAATACCTCACTCGTCTCAACGTCTTCTCTTTCCATTACTCTCCTATCGTTGTGGTAATCTTACATCAAAAATATTCATTTCCTTCTTTGTCATTTGATATTATAAATAAAATCAATATGTCTGTGGTGGAATGGTTCGCCTTATATAAAATAAGTTTGTGAACCTTGACAATAATGGTGAATCTTGTTTGTATTCCATGCAGGGGTTCATAACGCTATCGTGTTTAATAGCAGTTTCCGTTAACTTCAGCACGTTTTTAGTGATCGGAAAGACATCTCCAGTGACGTACCAAGTCTTGGGGCATCTCAAAACGTGTTTGGTGCTTGCTTTTGGTTACACTCTCCTCCACGATCCTTTCACTCCTCGTAACATCGCAGGAATCCTTATCGCGGTCCTTGGCATGCTTCTCTACTCTTATTTCTGCTCCGTTGCTTCTAAATCAAAACAAGGCTCCTCCGAGTCCGCTTTTATTGTACGTCATCACACCAACAAAGTAAAAAAGATAAAAATGAAGAGTGTTGAAGGTTTCAATATGCTAACCAATTTGTTTGGTATTTTTTTTTTCCCTTTTAACAGGGGAAAGACAGGGACACGACGCCACTTTTGAGCCAAGAAAAAGAGAACCACGAAGCCAAGAAATTAGACAAGCATTCTCCAGTATGATTGATTACAACGTGATAAAAAGTACAAGTTCTATTTCTTTCTTTCTGGTCTATAATTCTGCTTTTTTCTATCATTGATGAAGGTTTTGTAATTGAGAGAAAAAAAACTGAAACTACCAATGGGACTGTTTCTCTTACATTTTGGGTTTTATTAAATATTTACAGCTACATTCTTCAGTTCTCTCCCTCTCTTTTGAATATAATACAAGGACACACATTTTCCTATATGGTTATTCTCCATTAAAATCCCATTTTCCCATGTTAAAATTCCAAAAAAAAAATTATGGTATTGAACATTACTATAGAAAATATACCTAATGTACTTATAGTTGATAAAATATTACAAAAATATTTTCTCAACTCTTTTATCGCATGAATTACAAGTAATCAATATGAAAATATACTCTTTATCGAAGTAATGGATATGTAACACCACAAAAGTAGAAAAATAATTAAATATTATTAATAACAGAAATAAATTTAGTGATTATTATTTTAATTTTAAATTGAATCAAAATACAAATGTGTATTTTTATAACAAATAATTTATATTTTAATCAGCTCAAATTTCAAAATCATGAACAAGTTGGTTTTTCAGTAACGTCTTACACATGATGTGAGGGATTGAATATCACCAGTAAATAAAACTAAGAGGATGTTATTGGTTGCATATATTTAAATTTCTATTAGATATATGTGTGTGTGAAGCTACATGGTATGTGCAACTGAATTCAAACCCCCATGCCCACACCCACGCTAAGTTGTCGTTGTTTCATTTTTTATGACCCAACATTTATTAAAGTTAAAAAAAAAATCAAGATAATTTTTAACTAGAAAGTGCTTAGTAAAAGTCTTACATCACATCCAAATCTAGCGATTTATTAAAAAGCATAAATATCAGAGAATACGCAGAAGGAATTTTTTATACTTCTATACCTATAATACCAATTTTATACATATAAATTAACATTTAATACTTATAAATTAACATTTAAAACAATAAAATATCAAAAAATATTATTTTCAGTTGGAGGAATCGACACCTTTGTTGGACCTGGTTTAATGGTTTCAAATAAGACGTTTTCGGTTTTCTCAACTAATTTACTTTAAGATTTGTTTTATTCTCAACTGGTTTCCATGCATTAAATATTTAATGAAACCCTTATATCATAGAACCTCTATAAATTAATATTCGATAAATTAATAATCTTTATAAATGAATTAATTTTGTTAGTCCTAACTTAGACATGTTCAACACAAATTAAAAAAATTAAATAGATAATATTTTTTTAGAAAATTTATGTAAATATATGGTCCCATTTATATTATAGATTATAATTATATTTATACATATTTTATATAAATAAGAACATATCATTATATTGTTTGTTTTATATTCACAATGAATTCTCTTTATATTTTCTTAACACTTATTATATTTTTGATGAGATTTGGTAATATTATGTCTAAAATCACATTTAGATTCTATGCAATATATCTTATGTACACAAAATAATACAATAAATTGATATAAATTTCAATTTTTAAAGAATTAATGTTTATAAACTAAAATCAAATATTTTTCTTATTTAAAAAAAAATATCTTAAAATAAAAAACCTAAATAAAGAAACTTTTTAAAATTAATATCTCTATAAATTAATAAAATTTCAAAGTCCTACACTATTAATTTATAGCGGTTTTACTGTATATACTTTATCCATTTCATAATTTATAATGTTTTGGCTTAGTGCACAAAGATTAAGAAATTTACATTCTTCTAAAAAACACTTCTAAAGATATAATTTTAGAGAAAAAGGCAATTAAAACCATGAACTTTCAAATTAAAGCCAACAAAACTTCTAAAACATGTTTGAGCCAAAAAAATATTCAGTTTATAAATATTGACCATTTTAACTCTCATATTTTATTGACTTGGCGATTTAAGAAATTCAGATAGTCAACTGTTAAACTGTTAATTTTTTGAACGACGTTTTTAAAAACTGATTAAACATTAATCAAACAATGTCGTTTTGGTTTTGTAAACACTTAAAGCGTCTTAGTCGTGAAATCATAATCTCAAATCAACTTCATCTTCCTCATTTCGGGCCAGCGAAGTCAATTTTGGACTCTAATTTCGCAAAAGAGATGTTTTAAATGTTTAAAGAAACAAAACAACGTTGTTTGATTGATTTTTTAAAACGACATCGTTTACAGAGTTAACATATACCTATTTTTATAAACGCATTAAGAGCTAATTATTTGAGTTTCTTAAATGGCCGAATCAACAAAATGTGAAAGTTAAAACGACCAATATATAAAAGTTGCAGATTATTTTGGTTCAAACACGAGTTTCAGGTTTTTTGACTTTAATTTGAAAGTTCAAAGTTTTAACAATTGTTTTCTCTATAATTTTGTAATCATTCAATTAATTATAGAAAACAATGTACAATTTTATTATTTGAACAGTTTTCAATTAAATTAAAATAATTGTAAAACTTCAAAATTTACCTTAAATTTTTTTAAAATATTATATTTTGAAACAACATAAACTTCCTAAAACATGATACGATTTGAAACGGAGCCAATATAATTATATATAAATAAATAAATAAAAAGCATTTATTCTGTAGTAGAGAATTTTTTTAAAGGAAAGAGTTATAATAGGAAGAGTTCGGTGAGACCGTTACAAAAAAAAAAAAAAAAAAGTTCGGTCAGACCGTTAGGTTCCACAAACCGTTCCAGTTTTACAGGAGTGCTACCAGGTCCAATAAGAATCATGAGTGGGCTGAGTCATCAAATAACTCACTGTGAGTGTAGCTAGTCTGCAACTTTCTGAGTGAAAGAAAAAATGGAGGAGAATCGTCGGAGATGGTGTGGTGGCGGTAGGGAGGTTCCAGTTGCAGGCGGCGGAAACACCATCAAATGGATCGAAATATCTGTACCTTCTCCTTCTCCTTCAAGTGAGGACAATGTATGTCTCGTGCTTCCTTCTTCTTCAGAAGAAGAAGACTACACTTCTAGCAGTGTGATTGGGGATCCTCCCATCTCTTTCGTTTGTAGAATCAACAAAACAAACTCAAACGTTCTCGAGGTTCTGCAGCTCTCTTCTAAATCTGAGTTTCTATTAACGGGGATTCGTTTCTCCTTTGCTCATAAACTCTATCCTTTTGCTTTTCCATTCGTCGCTCACGAGGTAGATTAAATTAAAACCATCTTCTCTCCACTTTGATTCTTTCGTTTATTGCTTAAAACGGAATTGAAATAATTTGCAGGGTAGTGCAAGTGGTCCTCTCCGCTTCTTTCTTTACGCCTTCACGCCCTCTAGTGCTGTCTACGTCCTTAATCTCTCAAATGCGTTGGCCTATGAGTCTGGATCAGTCTTCAGGCATGATCATTTTACCCACGTGGATGTTCGACGTTACTTAAACGAAGCTCAGGTTACCAGCGTAACCGCATGTCCTGGCTCCATTTTCCTTGGGAGATCTGATGGTTGTGTCTCTTGCTTCCAACCTTTTCTGTCCCGTCAGGAACCATTATCAGGTAGATAGATTGCTTAGTCTCTCAATTTGATCATGTTTCTTCACTTCTCTTATCATCATCATTTGCATTGTAGGTTTCTACAAGGAGCTGAGAGATGATGATACAGGGTTTTTACATCGATGGGGACTTGTAAGGCAAGCAGTTATTACTTATTAGAAAACAATTTTGTCTTTCAATTTTTGTTCATATATATACTAATAAAGTAATAATCTTATAATGTGCATTCTAGGGGGAGAGATGTTGCAGCTGTGATAGATTTATCCATATTAGAATTTGAAGACGGACCTTTTATCAATGTGCTTCATGCTGATGGAAAGTTAAGTGTCTGGGATATCTTGTCCCGTACCAAGATGATGTGCGAAAGTGTAGCTGCTGAAAACTGTGAGAATTTTATTTGTTGGTGGCCATTTCAAATTTGTTTGATCATCCATTCATTTACCTCTGTTTTGACTTTTTTTCATGCAGTGTTTGTCCCTCTTAGGTTATGGGTGGGTATTGCTGATTACGATAACCAAGTCATTCCATTGGTTGTCTCGCGTAGACATAATCTCGTCAACGTGATTACTGTGTTTTTCATACGCTTTACCTTCCAGAAATTTGTAAGCTTTTTTCTGCAATCTGGACATCTCAATATTCCATTGCAAGGGGTACGGTACTTCTGACCTTCTATGCTGAATTTTCATCTTCCCAACTTGTTTAGAATTTTGCATTATTCCTTACTTTTGCAGGGAGAATTGCGGGATGTCAGATTTACATCCGACAGGATCTTGATTTTAAAGGCCGATGAATTGATATCTCAAATGCTGTCCTATAAATCTAGTAACATGTAAGTTCGAGAAGACTAGTTCCTACTGATTTGGTTAATATACTTTAGAAACCTTACTAAGGATCCGATTGTTAATGGGTGTAACTTTAAAGTTTTTGCTGTAAAAAAAAATCTATAGACTTTTTGTTATGGTTTTAGATTTTATTGCTGTAAATTTTTTGGGAAGCACTAAAATATTGTTTTGGATATTTGGCTCTGCAGAGCACTTGTATAGCTGTAGTTCATTTCAAGAGCTGTGGTTTCAAAAAAAAATTAAAGTTCAATTGTTCTGAATTTAGTGATGTAGAAATAAATAGATGTGGACATCACTTACAGCAACTACCAATCACCCCCTATATTCTAAGTAGCCTTACTATTTGGTTGTCAGAATAGCAGGCTTAGCTAGAAAGTTTGCTTTGATTTTGGTTTCTTGATGGTGGGATATATAGTGCTCTATTTCTAAAATTATTTTCCTTGACCCAGGGAAACACAGTCTTACATCTTACAGGAGGAATATATATCTGAGCAGTTATTTCTGACTCCTGCGAGCTCTTTACATGAGCTTCGGTTGACAACACATTCACTATTTTCATCCTCAAAGGTCTTTATTTATACAAAAATATAGGCTCTGTGTCTCCTTAATGCATGTTATGCGGGTAAAAGAATTGTTTATTTTGTATGAGTCCATCTTAACCACCTTTATTGCACTTTGCAGGATCGAATTATGGGATTCATTTCATCAATCTTCTTAGGCAGGCTTCTCTGTCTTGGAATTTTTGACGATGTTGCATTGCGTCTAACTTTACGGGACCACAACAAATGCTGGAGTGATTCTGAGTTTCAATCTTTAAGTCTTGATGAGCTTAGAAGGGAGATTCTTTCACTAGTTGAGCAAGAGGTTTTGTTTTTCTGCATAGTTATATAGTACCTTGTAGATACAATGCATTCTAAGCTGATATATGTCTCTTCTTATGTCAGGTTACTGGTGAGACTACTATTTCAGTTTTTCACTGGTGGGAAACTTTTTGTAAAACCTATCTTGATCACTGGCGTAACAATAATGGACTTCGCACGTTGCTGGTTCAGTCAGATGGTATTGGTTTAGTTAGAAACAATTCAGTGTCACTCTTCTTTAGTTTAGAGAATGCTGAGAACAGCCTTGGAGGTATGCAAAAGGATTCTTAATAATCAGATCTCATTGTATTGCTTATAATCACTTAGGACTTAGACCATGATTAACCCGGGTTTCTTAAGGTGGGGTGCTTAGCGAAAACGAAGAAACTGTTTCTTAATTTAAAACGCTAAAAACCGGTTCTTAAAGTCGTTATTTAAGAACCGATTCTTAGCGTTTTTAGTTAAAAGTTAAGAAACACTTTCTTAGTTTCCGCTAAGAACCCCGCCTTATGAACCCGGGTTAATCATGCTCTTAATATGGTTTCTGTCTTTGATAGGGCCTTCTTTTGAACACAGCAACCTGACAAGCTTAGACTTGGGAATGTCTCACAATGAACATGAGAGGCTGTTGGAGATATTAAAATGTACTTTGAAGATCCGTAAGAAGTTGGGCGGTGCTCCTTGTGCCATGTACTATGAATTAGTTACTGGAAAGCCAGTTATCTCTTCTGATGACATTGTGCCTCGCTTAGTTAACATCCTTGGGTCGGGATATGCAATGTCCATAGATCAGCGTACATGGTTGGATCTTGGTGCTGATAGAGGATGGGAAAAAGAGCTAAAATCTCATAGAATGTTTTCCATTCACATGTTATTGTCTATCTCTACTCTATGTCAAAGGGCAGGATCTTGGGAAAAGGTTTTTGATATCATGGAGAACTATTTGCAGTATCTGGCTCCTAAGAAATTTAGGCATGACAATAATGGCGAGTCATTATCTGATATCTGTAGTTCAATCCTCGTTCAAGCCACTACTCAGTTTGCAAAAGTTATGTTTGAGTCTGCCTTTGACATCGTCCTACTCCTCAGCTATCTCCTTAACATATCTGAGAAGGTCAGTTTCCACACTAGTCTCACATACTCTATTTTGTTTATATATTCTAAACTCAGTCATCGATTTTTTTTATTATTATTTTTGGCTTTCTCGTTCCGTAGGTTAATATGTCAGAACAAGACATATGCAAGCTACGGCATAAATTGCTTCCCATGATCCAATATATTGTCACAGAGTGGCTCATCATCCTTTCCTTTCTTACCACTCCAGCTGAGTCGATTTCAATGGATGATTGCAGCTTTAAACTCTCATTTCTACAGATTGGTAGGTTTTCGTACGTGCGAAAATATTCCCTCACAGTCACATCCAATATTTATAAATGGACACACAATTGTTTATTATTGCAGATAGCAGCATTGACAAAATGGTTGGGAAATGTGGTTTCTCATTGGCGTACATTCTTCTCTTAAGTGACCGAAGTTGTATTGTGGACAGCCGATATGACTTGAGATATCTTCCGAATTCACAAGTTGTTACAAGTTTGGTACAAAACTTTGTTAGCTGGATTTGTTATATTAAAACAGGAGAGGACACAGCTTCTTTGCTAAGACCCTCATCTGAGCTTACTCTTAGGTTGATTAGGAATGGACAGGCTAACAAAGTTGAGGTAAAAAAAAAAAAGCTGTATCGGCTTTCTTTGATGAACCTTTGCCAACACATTCTTTTTAGCGAACTGCTAGTTTAAATTATTTGCTGATTCCTTTGTTTTTTTTCTTCTTTTTTTCCTTTTCAAGCGAATCCTTGAGGTTATGGAGGGAATATTACGTGGGGAGAAAACATTTGGACATGTTCAAGATACTAGTGGAGATTGGAGTCTTCTTCAACATCTCCGTGGTTGCTGCTTCTTTAGGTTCTATTTTCTACTTCTATTGTTCAACGCTCTGAATCAGTTATTTTCAAATATTATCAGTTTCTTGGTAGTTTTAGGGTTGACAATCTATTTCCCCACAAGAAATATTGTATAACATCAGATCCACACTAAAGTAATGCCTCGTGTTATTTTCAAATATTATCAGTTTCTTGGTAGTTTTAGGGTTGACGATCTATTTCCCCACAAAAAATATTGTATAACATCAGATCCACACTAAAGTAATGTCTCGTGTTAAATCTCTCTAGAAATAAAGTTCGAAATCTATATCTCCTCAAACTGAAACTTCTAAACTTTAATACACAAAATCATTTTTTCCGGTTATTGTCTACAAACCAAGAATGAACATATATCTGACCTTAAACCCAACTAAACCTAATTGAATCTAAATTTGAAACAACCAAAATTGACCCAACCCCACTAGTCTTCTTCGTCACCCGAGTTGAAATTTGAAGAAAAAAACAGTACGCAAGTGTAATCTTTTAACCCACAGCTCCTCCTCCACCATGTAATGGAAGGAGGAGACGGCAGTTTGTTCCTACAAAATCTCCAAGATCACGTCCGGTCAAGTCATTTCAATCCGAATCAAGCACATATGACATAACAAAGAGAGAAAGAGACCTTATTCTGTATAATATCCAAACCAATAAGTTTCTTTAAAAATCAATCCTCTATAGCCCTAGATATAAAAAAGAACCATTACAACATATTAGCTATGACATGTGTCATCACCAGAATGATTTTCAAAGTTTTTAGAGAAAAAAATTGATCTATATAAACATATAATATACTTTTAATTACACAAATCATAAATTATTATTAATATCAATTTATTCATAAATTATTACAGAAGTACCTTATGTGGTCAAAATATATAAATGACAGTTAATCATTTGAATAAGAAGGATTTGATAGAAATTTGTACCTTGGGAAATGTGGTCTCTCATTGGCATACATTCTTCTCTATAGTGACATTTAAATTAAACTATATACCTTCAGATAGATAAATATTTTAATTTCAAAATTTGCTTTGAACAAGTATTGAAAATTTAATACTTTAATTTAAAACTTTGAATTGATGTTTTAAAAACGATTATGAATTACTATAAAATATACAAATGATCGTAAAACCATAAAGGTATGAATATAGATAGCCAAATTAGAAATGTACTATATATATATGTGTGTGTGTGTTAATATCATTTAAGTTTTATTTATGTGTTCACACTAATTTAATTATATACATAATAGTTACTAATTTATTATTTATTATCTCTATATGTATATTTATTATTTTATAATATATTAAAACATAAAATAAACAATAATACGTGAAATAAATTTTATATATAATTCTCATACTGCGCATCTGCGCGAATCTTAACCTAGTGAATTAATAAAAACAAAGAAAGAGAAAAAGTAAACAAAAAAATGAATAAAAAGAGTCTTGTTCTCCATTTTCTATTTCTCTACGGGACAACACACAAAAGAGTGATATAAACTAGCCAATTACGTCTCGGGATCTAGAATATTGTCACACAAATCTCATATGAGTAGTTCACATCCAGATTTTGATGGTGCCAGAGTTGCAGAAGGTAAAGGAAGAAGAAACAAATTGTCACCTCAATTTTTTGGTAAAGTCAGCATATTTTGGGTTAGACCTGGTTTGGGTCTTATTAGATTTAATTTTGGTTTATTATTAGATTTTAATGGTTAAATGGTAAACATTAAACCCAATTAATCTGGGTTTATGCGTTTTTAGATTTAAAAATATAAGTTTGTGTGGTCTAAAGTTTAGAAGTTTTGGTTCATAGAGATATAGATTTTGAACTTTATTTCCAGGAATATGTAACACGAGGCATTACTTTGATGTGGATCTAATGCTATACGATACTTCTCGTGGAAAAATAGATCGTCAGTCCGTATTTTTATAACATATAATTCCGTGTGCCTACCTTTATCCTATCATGGTTTTCCAGTGTAGAGCTTCATCTGGTGAAAAATATTGGAAGGCTTTGCATAGCTTGGCTAAAGAAGCAGGATTTTTCCATTCCACAATTGGTGAGGTTTTAAAAGAAATCGTTTTTCTTGCTCTAGTTCTTTTCCAGTTCTATTATTTCGTAAAAACTGATTCATAACCCCCTTTTACCATCCTTTTGGTTGAAACAGGTGCCAGTATTTAAGATGGTGAAAAGTCTTGTGCGACATGAAAATTCCATTACTATGAATGGGCCAAGCAAATTTTTAAACGGTATAAGTAAGGAGCTTCTCAGTTTTCATGTGCAGCCGTTGAGCAAGTTGATTAGGCTATTTCTTTCATGGAAAGTAGTGAGACGTCCGTGTACCTGAAAGAGCCCCTCTTGGTTTAAAAAGTGTTCCATGGTGCGCAAGGAAAGAATAATGTAAGAGAAAAACTTCCAGTCTCTACGCAATGTGCAGCAAAAAAGACACTAGAAGTGGTCATAAATGTTATTACACAATGGTCATAACCACTAGAAATCAAAACTCCAAAAACGATCAAGAAAAACATCAGTCAGACACATCTATTGCCAGAAATCATTTATATTTTATCTATATATATACTTTAACAAAAATGAATTCAAATTAATTTTATCAATAATAAAAATACATAGTTGGTTTACAAATATATTACAGGCTTTGTAGTTGATTTTAATTTAAACGATTTGACATGAACTATAAACTACTACTTTAGGATACGTAATTGCTCTATTTTGTGATGTTAAAAAGGAAAAATTCTTTGTTTTGTTGTTGTTGATGCTGTTTTATACTTTTAGGCTATGTTTTTTATGAAGAAAACATTTATGCTATCTTTTTCAACCCTCAAATATTACGTATCTGGGATGAATGTACTTCATACAAATGGGAGATTACGTATTTGGGATATTTTGACTCATACCAAGCTTTTGTGTAGTAGTATAGCTACTGATAACTGTGAGAGTATATATATTTAATTTTCTATTGCATTCTATCTCTAATAACTCTCTTGACAATTTCTTGAAAGGTGTGAACTATATTTCTGTATTTTTCCTAGCTTTTACTTTTGAGAAGTGTATGAGCATTTATCTAGGTCTGGATTTTTCAATATACCACACTTAATGGACCGAAAAATTAATAAAATCTAATAAGAATAGTCTCGAATTATTTTACTGAACGGGCTGAAGTGTCGCTTTCTAGAAAGAAAGAAAGGTTTAAGAGATGGTATTGGATTCAAGAATTTAATTAATTTTGAAAGAATTCAATTGAAGACGTAAATAATATATTTTGAAGTATTTTAAATGATTTGATGAGGATTTTAATGCATTTGTCTGATTGTTTAATTTTAGATTTTAAATATAATTTAATTTGGTAGAAACTAATACTTTTGAATTTCATGAACTATCTGAAGCATTGTATAAAAAATGCACAAAGAAAGACCAAAAAAATCTACTAATAAAAATGATAAAACCATAATCATTTCCATACCATATAGATAGAGAAAATTATTTTAAAAAGTGGAATAAAACCTCTACTAACAGAAAATAATAAAAAGCCAATTATTTATGTATCAATATATTAAGATGTAGAGATAAAACTTTTCGAGAAATATTTTCGCGAAACAGATATGGAAATTTTCATATATCATTTTTAGATCCGATGAGATTCATGTTTAATTTCTCCAAGCACACATAAATTATTAATGAAAGTTACCCATTTCTTCTTGACGAAGAATAATAAATTTGAGTAACTCTAATAAAGTTCCAAATTTTAAAGTCAAATGATTGGAATTTTGGAATGAAATAAGAGAAAGTGAAAGAAATATGGTTTTATGTGTACAAAATGAGGATATGAAGATGTAGGTGTTTATTTTAAGTGTATTTAGAGTTTCAAATTGATTATTCATGGTGGTTGGTGTATTAATAGCAATAACAATATTGTAAATACTTGATGAAGATTAAGATAATAGAGTAAAACATTTATTTTCAGAAAAATGATGTTTTCGTGAAGAATCTGAATTTTCTTGGTTGAATAAGACAAATGAAAGTTTCAAAAACATGGGTTAGTTTTGCAGTTTATTTCTAGTTTTGAGTCATAAACACAAAACTCCCATATATAAAACAACTAATTATTTGTAATTGAACCATCAGCACAAATATTTCAATATCTAATCTTATTCTTAAATTTATATTTTTTCTCAGTAAAAAATCACATAAATCGTTCTAATTAGGGAAATTTATTCATTTTTAAATAGATGAATATCAAATTGAATATCATAAACTGGCTATGTAACGAAAGACGATTTCAAATAATTCAGTTGGTTACACATATTATCGAGCCAGCTATTATAAGATGTGGTAGAGTCATTTAATAGGCTTAAATATATACTAGATTTTGACTTCCGCTTTTCAAGCAAGGGATATTTTTGATAAAAAAAATTTCATTAACACTTTTACAATTTTTTATTATTATTTTGGAACTGATAAATCCAATGATCTGATATGTAATTGATTTGTAAAAAAATCTTATTTAAAAACCTGCAAAACATCTAAAACATGTTGAACTGATGAATGATCGATATGTAATCTAATTTGATTTAATTTTTTTATTTTAAAAATTTGAAATTTAATATTATTGTATTTTTATATGTTTTAACTTCAAACTTTTTAAAAAAATATTCAAATTATATTTTATATTTTTAAATAAAATAGATTTTAAATATTTACTATATTTTTATGCATGGTCTTTCATTTTTAATATTGATAGTTGTTATTGTAATTGTATATATGGTCCTAATTCCAAATTAAAAAAAAAAACCAACTTATTTTGGTATATTTATGGAGAATCTTTTTCTTAGTGTTTAATTGATATTTTGAAAGATTTGTTGTAATTATATTGGAAAAGTAAGACACCACTGAAAATATAAAGGTATATTCTCTAAATTGTTATATAATGTTAATTTTTTATTTTTAAAAAATCTTTCATTTCCTGTATAATTTTTTTCATTGAGAACTAACATAATATAGGTGTTATAATTTATGTTCATATACGAAAAACTCATTGTATATATTTGAGAATTCAGATTGCATGTTTAATTAATTTTAAGAATTGTCACTTTAATATTGTTTACTTTTTTGAGAAATATTGTTTAAAAACTTAATCTTTCTAGATACAATAATCTATTTAAAATGTCCACCAACATAATACCGTTCATGTATAAAATGTTTAGAACAAAACTAATACATAAACTTTTTTTAATAAAAGTTTTGTTCGATAAGATAACATGATTTAAAGCATTGTGAATCACATCGATGATAACCATAATTTAATCATAGAGGTTTGACTTTAATAATAGGGAAAATATGTGTTGTATAATTTAGATGATATTAGTGTCGTAGGAATCTATTTGGAGTGGATGTAACTAATAAGTAGACATGTTTAGAGATGATGATATTCTAGTATACTGGATCTATACATATGTGGAGTATAATGGAGTTATGTATGCAATTTTGGTCCACCAAAGTTGGCAAGAATTAATTAAAATCTGATAGTATTTAATTAAAATATTGAATGTCATATACTTAGTTAAATATATGGTAAGACTAAAAGATTAATTAATTAATGAGAGGATACAACAACCTTGTATAAGTAGATTTTTTAAAAAATATTTCTCTTTTTATAGTATAGATGATGTTTGTTACTTAGAAACATGATTTTTATTTAGAAGGTGGTGCATACAATTTCCACTTAGTTATTACCTTTACAAAAGAAAACTAAATATGTTTACAAAGAAATTTTCTAAAATTAGATAGTTTTAGTTGAATTTATGTTATTTGTTTAAAATAAACTTTTGAGTGTATCTGATTAACAACTTTGATAAAAATGATAAATTTCCCTTCAATTGATAACTTTTTATGTAGTATTATATTTAAAACAATGCAATTTTATATTAGTGTTAAACACTATTTTTAAATAAAAATATTTAATTTTGTTAGTTTATAAATTTTACTCCTTCCATATACAAACATTGATGTTTTACATTTTTCTTATAGAAAAAATGATGCTCTAACTTTAATTAATATATATTTCTTTAAAAAAAAAATATAAATTAAATTTAAAATATGAATTGTAGAAATATATTGGAAAGCAAATAAATTTACAATAATTAATATATCAAATATATATATTTAATCTTATTAATATGTGTGTAAATCTTAAATCATCAACCTTTTAAATCTAAAGAGAATATATGTGAGTTGCACATTTTCGAAAATTCACAAACTCCAATAATAAACCAAAATAAAAAATAGAAAAAATTAAATTAAAGTTAACAGATATTATAACAAAGGTTAAATATTTTGCTATATTAAGTATCCTAAAACATCACAAAATAACCCATAAACAGAAAAAATAAAATTAACTAGAATAATAGAAAAATTAAATAAAACAAAAAGAAGTATTAATAACCCATAAACAGAAAAAAATAAAATTAACTAGAATAATATAAAAATTAAAGAAAACAAAAATAAGTATTAATAAATTATTACAATTTATTTTCCATAAAAATGAAAACAGATATGTGTAAATTATAAACCAAAAACTAAAAAGAAAACCTACTGAAAACTCCGTATGCATGACCGTATATTAACTTTTTTCTCTCTCCCTCCCTTCCTTCACTCATTTCTTTTCTCCTCTCTCTCTCTCTCAGTTTCTGTAATCCCTAAACCCCCAAATTCAAACTTTTTTAAAGATTCTCTCTCCCTCCTTCGTCTCGCGCTTAGGTAATGCTTTCTGTGTAGTCATCTCTATCGGAAGGTTCGTGGGCCCCTCTCTCACTTTCCCTTTTTCATCGTACTCTCTTCTTCAAAGTTTTAACCTTTTCTCCTCTTTATGTTTTAAACGTTGACACAAATGTTAACGAAAACGATGTTTTATTCTTATTTGGTTGTTTTTCTTGTTCTGTTGTGTGCCCTAAAAATGAATTCAACTGTGAAACCCATAAGAGGAAAATAGAATTTGCCCATTTATGTTATGTTTTGTTTTTTTTTGGGACAGTGAGTGTGTGAGGAAATGAATAAGGGTTCGTGGTTACCTGAAGAGGAAGAGGAAGAGGAGTTAAAGGGTTTATCAGAGAACTTCTTTGATGATCTCATTGATCATATGGATCTTGATGAGGACATGGAAACAGCTAATGATGATGAGGGAGATTGGGATGCAAAGTTTGAAAACCTTGTGCCTCCACCGTTGGATGTGCTCACGAGCTTGTCCTCTGAGTTCACTCATGGTAAGGTACAACAACGTGGGGGAGGAGTTCAGAGGAAGCCTGTCCGCACTTTGGTGAGTTCTGTAGTCCTGATAAGCACACGCTGTCATGCGTTTATTTATACAACTTGATAACTTGTTTACACATTTGCGTTAGGAAGTAGTATCATTCATTTCCGTTAGTTGATAGATTGTTCACACGATTACAAGATTTTTATATCATCAGGAAATAATGTGGTCAATTGTAACTGAATCATTCTTTTGGATTCAAGCTTCCATAGCGTTTTACTGCGTAATTTTGGAACAGTGTATAATGTCAAAGAATCACAGCTCATATGCGTCATTGACACAACTAAAATAAGCATTTTGTAGGAGGAAATGATTAGGTATTTTGTAGGAGACTTTTACCGCTTTAGGGTTTGAAACACAAACTCTATTTTCTTACCCAGTTAGGAGAGCACCCTTGATCGTATATGAGAAAAGCACTGTGAAGTGTTTTAGGTCTTTTGAGTTTAGCTTCTCTTTCTTGAGTCCATGGATAAGAATAGTTGGCAACTCACAGGACCTGGTGTATATGTGTAGGACTTGGTTATAAGTTACTATGGTAGTTTGGTGTATGTATCATCAGTCTTTCTCTGAATCTCTATCAGTCTGTGTATATTTATAGAACAAGAAGAATTAAGCTTAGTATCATTGTCAATCTAATATTAAATCATTCTCGTGCTTGTTGTCTTTGTATACACTTTCTGTGGCTTAATTTTCCTGAGTTGATAAGTTATCTTTTCATTCTGAAGAACTCTTCTATGTTCCATAAATAATTGGCAGAATATAAGATCATGTCTTCATTATTAGCATGAATAATCTTCAGTGTGTATGAGCGTTTTTTTTGTTTTCACATTTTGGTTGCATTGAATATGTTTTTTCTGATTATGACTTTTAACTGAACACGTGCAGAAGCAGTCGAGTTCTTCAGAAGTCTCTTCTACCATAGACAGCTCCCTTCCTGACGTCAAAGTCTCAACTCTATTCCAGTCTTCAAACGCACTCTCAGTCCTCGACGCTGCCAACGGCTCTGTCTCCTTCCCCGTGAAAGGCACCAGAAGCAAGCTACGCAAACGGCCCACAACCTCCACATTCAGATCCCTCAAGTCATTTACATCACAAATGGTTCAGCAGTTTGCTCCTGATGATCCAGACTCTGAACCTTACCACATCCCTTCTGCCAAGAAGAAACGCCAGAGGAGGAACAACAAGAACCATGCGACGGATCAGTCAGTAGTCTCCGACAGTCCAGAACCATTGAACGCAGATGGAACAATCCGCATGTGCACTCACTGCGAGACGACCAAGACACCACAGTGGAGGGAAGGTCCATGTGGGCCTAAGACACTATGCAATGCTTGTGGGGTTCGGTTCAGGTCAGGCCGTCTTCTTCCAGAGTACCGTCCATCGTCAAGCCCGAGCTTCATACCAAGTGTGCATTCGAATTCTCACAGGAAGATCATAGAGATGAGAAGGAAAGACTTGAAACCAGGATGACCCTTACTGTTAGATCCAGAGGATAGAGATTATATGGAGAGATGTATTCAATATAGTATTTGAGAGGATTTGAAGTAATTTGATTTTTAAAGAGCTTAGATTATTTTAGGTGAATTAGGAAGTTGTTATGATTTTAATTAGAACTATCTTAAATCCAATCTAAAATGATTTAGATTTTTTTTTTTTTTTTTAACTTGAAAGCTCTATCAAAACACCTTAATCTATTAAAGTCATTTAAAAAGTTATTGTATATAATAATGGATTTTTTTTCTCTCCAACTAAGATATCTGCATTAGTAAAAACAAAGAACCAAATATTAAGTTGTAATTAAACTAAGATATCTGCTAATTTATATGTTCTTAAATGTAAATGTAAACCAAAACAAATATAAATTTATGGTAAATCACAATCCAAAGTAGTTCTCAATGATATTAAAAACATACATTCACCTTCTTTGGATATCGGTTCTCCGTTGGTTACAGTTCCGGTCCGGTTCTCTATTTATTTTTTTATAAATTGATCTTAAGATTTGACTCTATTTAATTTTTTTATAAATTGATCTTAAGATTTGAACTGGATTGATTATCTAGTTTCTAATTCATAAGTTGTTTAGTGCCGAAAGTGATTTGTTTAAATGTATGAACGAGCTTACCCGATGAGAGTTGATTGGTAGGAGTTTCGTGAACCTCTCAAATATTGCATATAATATTTAACGGGATTCCAAAGACACATCGGCTATTGCTGATATCATACAACGGTGTTACTAAATGGGATAAACCAGCCCAGTCGAGTGGAATGTTTTTTCTTGGTGCTTTGATCAACAACAATGTCTCTGGTGTGTAGCGAACTTGATTATAAACAAGTTTTTGTTCAGCCTTATTTAATTTATAGTGTTTCAGACCGTTTTCAGACAAAGTAAAACAGTAACAGACCACATCTTCTCGAACACCCAAAGATAAACGACCAGGAGTATCAACAGAAGCTAATTCAGAGAAATCAATGGATGTGTAGGCCACAAAGATCTTTTTCACCTCCATGTTTATTCCTTTGCTTCTCTAATACATGGAAGCATTTTTGGCGAGCCTTCAAAGCTATTGAGGGAGTTGTGAGACATAAACAATGCTTGCAAAGAAGGCATACTCCATAACCATTTAGGCACCTCTCCTTTAAGTTTATTGTTTACAGTGCGCAAAATTACCAGCTTAGTTAGATTTTGCATAAATCTGGGGAACTCGCTGATGTTGCACTGATTCATGACTAGTTCCTTCAAATTTGGTGATCCGGGATTAAGCCTTGATATAGCATTTCCAGAAAGATCAAGTAACTCTAAAGACTTGAAACCCAAGGAGACGAAGCTGATTGGATCGGTTGTGTTCTGAAAAGATAGGTCGAGGGTTTTGAGGTTGGTGAATTTTGAGAGAGGCTCTAGGATCCAACCACTAAGACGGTTATTGCTGAGGTGTAAAGTTTCAAGCTTAGATGATGAAGAGCAATTCATAGTTTCAAGAGAGTCAGTGAGATGGTTTTCACTCAAATAAAGGCTGGACAGGAAAAGCATGGTGAGTAGATGACAAGGGACATTTACAGAAAAGTGATTATTGGAAAGAGATAAAGAAGAGAGACTTGATAGATTAAGTAAAGGGGAAAAAGTTCCGGTAAGATTGTTATCTGAAAGGTCCAATTTCGTTAGACGGTTTAGGCTACTGATTGAGGATGGAATTTCACCGGCTAAGCCCATATTGGAAAGATCCAATGACTCTAAGTTTGTGAGTTTGTCAAGTTCGAGGAGGAATGGGAACGAGTCAAAGTAGTTGTAAGAGAGAGTGAGGTAACTGAGGTGGTGTAATCTGAAAAGGCTACTATTAGCATTGAGAGCTCCACTGAGACATGCACCACGTAGGATTAGTGCCGTCACTACACCAGTCTTGCTATCAAAAAACGCCCCATTAAAGGACTTAACATCATTCCTGGTCCAGGATTTTGTCATTTGTCTTGAGGCAGGCCACTTTTCGAAATCGCATTTGAGGATTGGAAACTCGTTCTTAAAATCCAGAAGGATCTCAATTTGATCCGGACGAGGAACTGGTAGAGAGTCTAGAGACACAAGATTGTTAACGAAAAAGCTGAAGACGAAGAGGCAAGATAGGAAACATGAGATGGAAGAAACATGGAAACATGTTTTCACCATTTGGAAAATAAAAGAAGATATTGAAGAAGAAACTTGGGTATGTATGATTTGGTTTTGCAGCCAAAAACAACTTATTAATATATATAGTAAAAAGGCATATAGATGATAAGAGTTAAAGTCAGGTTTGCTCTATTCTTAAATTGTTGAAGTTTTCCACTGTGTGGCTCACAATCTATATTCCGAACAAGATACATAGCTGCTTACTAGGGACAAGGCCAATTAAGTGTATGTTGAAGTCAGTGGTCATCATATAAATACAAATGTGGATCCCACAATTCTCGCTGGAAAAATTTGGCAACCGACTACTATTCAAAAAGTCTTGTGCATCACTGAGTCAATCAACCTATGCTAACTTTGATCTCCTGGTTTTAAATTTCGAAGTAGATGGCTTTGGACGTGGAATGTTTGAGAGAAGTATATAGCTTTAGACAAAGTTGAATAGACCTAACAATAGAGAACATAGATTTAACTATGCAAGTGTTGCTAAAACTATCTGTAATTTGTAAAACAAAAAAGATACACTGAAGTCTACATGTTCTGTATGAATATTTGTAAACGTGTAAACTAAAAATATTAGCTTGTGAGATATCTTCATCACAACAATTTAGACTCGCGCGAAAGAAGTGTAACTATATGTTGTATGCTTCAGAAGAAAAAGTATTATTGTGAAAAAAAGTATTATGGGATACAGACCGCACGCTGAAGAAGAATATAACTTGTCCATGTGTATTGTTAGTGATTTGGGGACCCCCTGACTTTTTTGTGTATTGAAGATCAAGATCTGATGAAATGTTGAGTAGGTGAACTAGACAAGTTATTGAAGATCAAGATCTGATGAAGTACCAAACCAGCGGAAATTAGCAAGTATTTGGCTTACGTCCACTCCTAGTTTTAGTGTATGTTCCTAATAAAATAACTTGTATAGCCTCCCTCTACGACAATGTTTTTAGCAACTCCAAAGACATATATTGCCTTGGAGTTCTGTTTACTTCCTCTATGTATAATTGGACCTGACGTTTAGAACAAGATTATTGGAGGTCCTTGTTCTTAACCCTTAATCAATGGCGGACTCAGGAAATTTTTGTAACTAGGTCATAACTCAACTACAAAAATATACATAAGCCCAATTAAATTAAAGAATAACTTAACCTAAAATAAAAGAACACAATTATAGTTCATGCTGAGATTTGAATTCAAGAAAGGAGGGTAAATGGGCTGAATCTGTAACCAACCAAGCTAAATTTCATTACCAAAACTTACTTACAAACCTAACTTTAATATTTAATGTGTCACTTGCACCCCCCCCCCTTTTCATATGTAGGTCCGCTTTTGTCCTTAATACACACTAGATTTTGACCCGCGCTTAAAAGCGCGGAAATTTTTTTATGATTAAAAATTTAGATAATTGGGGTTTTGTTTTAATTTAAAGAATGTTTTGGTATAAAATCAGTTCACCAAAATTTGTGGTGATAGTTGTTTTTCATTAGTTTTTAGTTTCAATTTTTATTTTTTTAGATTTTGTTTTAGATTTTGATTTTTTGGGTTTTAATTTTTAAGTTTCTATTTTTGATTTCAGCTTTTGGGTTGAGTTTTTAATTTTTAGATCCGCTGAGTTAGTTTGAACTGATATTACCAACAAACAAATCTCAATTTATTGAACATGTAATTTAAAACTGAAAATATGACAAAATAATATTCTAAAAATTTTGAAATAGTTTATTTTGTAATAAAAAAGCAAAAAATATAATTCAAGAGATTGTAAATTTATGTAATTGGGTTTTATCTTAATTTAAAGAATGTTTTGGGATAAAATCAGTTCACCAAAAGTTGTGGTGATAGTTGTTTTTCATTAATTTTTAGTTTCAGTTTTTTTTTTTAGATTTTGTTTTAAAGTTTGGTTTTTGGTTTTTAGTTTATAAGTTTCTATTTTTGATTTTCAGCTTTTGGTTTGGGTTTTAAATTTTTAGATCTGCTAAGTTAGTTTGAACTGATATTACCAACAAACAAATCTCAATTAATCGAACATGTAATTTAAAACTGAAAATATGACAAAATAATTTTCTAAAAATTTTGAAATAGTTTATTTTGAAATAGTTTATTTTGGTTTTGGATTTTAGTTTTTAGATTTGGTTTTTGATTTTGCTTTACATTTTTTTTTAAATCTGTAAATTATTTAAGAAAAATATAATAATAAATTATTTAAAATTACCATTTAAATTTATCAAGAAAATGTGATTGTTATTTAAAATAAAAAATACTAACATGTTTTAAAGTACATGATTTAAATAAGTGATTAATAATAGATAATTTTGTTTTGTTGAAAATATTAAATATTTTTGGGCTAAAAATATTAACATAAAATATTAACATGTTTTAAAGTACATTATTTAAATAAGTGATTAATAATAAATAATTTTGTTTTGTTGAAAATATTAAATATTTTTGGGCCTCAAAATAGTAATTGATTTTTGATCCATTAAGATGGAAAGTTTATTTAATGTTTTTTGGAGTTTTTCTTTAATACTAAGCCCAAAAACCAAAAAAATAAATGTCATAAAAAAGAAAAGTAAGCCCAAAACTATATTATATAAATAACCGCCGGTTTAATTTAAGTAATGCGGTTCAATCAACTATATAACTTGTATTATTTGTAACACTCTAGAAATGGTCCAAATTTAAATGATAACTTGTATCAGTAGATAAAAAGAATGATTTTGTTTTAATAGTAGATATATATGTATATGTATATATTATATACATATATATAATAGATACATATGCATATGTGTGTATTAAGGATCTAAAAACAAGGACCCCAATAATCTTGTTCTTACGTTGAGCCATCAGGAATAGAACAAAGAAAGAAAGCAATGAATATAACACGGATGTGCATGGAAATTGTGTTACACTTTATATTCCACACAGGCGCCACCATGACACTTACCATGTTGGAGTGGTCTCGTTTGTCATATCACATATAGACGTAATTGATAATTCTCACGTCGTGCCATCAGGAATAGAA